AAGGAAGTTTCACTCTACCACAGAGACACTTGCTCAACCATGTTCATTGTAGCTCTATTCATAACAGCCAGAAATTTGAAACAGCTTAGATTTTTTTTTCAAGACAGGGTTTCTCTGTAGCTTTGGAGCCTGTCCTGGACTAGCTCTGTAGCCCAGGCTGGCCTCGAAGTCACAGAGATCTGCCTGCCTCTGCCTCCCGAGTGCTGGGATTAAATGTGTGCGCCACCACTACCGGGCTCTTAGATGTTTCTTAACAGTGAATGGATTTTAAAAAATGTGATAATTTACACAATGTATTACTGAGATCTTTAAAAAAAATGGCATCATGAAATTTGCAGGCAAATGGATGGAACTAGAAAAAAAAATCATCCTGAATGAGGTAACCCAAACCCCAGAAAGACAAATATGGTATGTAGTCACTGGACAGTAGCCATTAAATAAATGGTAACCAAGCTATAATCCTTAGGCTCAGAGAGGTTAGGCACAGAGGAAGGGATTTGGGGGGACACATGGGTCTCTTTGGGAGGGGGAAATAGAATAGATTTTATGGATGGACTGCAGTTGGGGGGACAAGAATGGGGAGATCAAGTGGGAAGGAGGAGGGAAGATGGGATTGAAGGAGGGAATGAGGGGGAGACAGCTAGAGCTAGAGAGCATTTGGGGGGGTATGGAGACCTAGCGCAGTGGAAACTTCCTGTAACCTAAGAAGGTGATCCTAATGAAGTCTCCAATAACGAGGGAGATGGAAACCCTATTGACCATCTCTTGTCATCAGACGAAGCTGCCAGTGCCAGGACTGGGTTTCATCCAATTTAGTTGTTGGCCAAAAGGTCCCAGGCTGTTGTCAAGATGATAGTTTGCTCTCCACAAATGGACAATAAGGCCCCATTGCTGAAGACAACACCCATATAACTCCATGAACATAGAGAGATGGGGCTGGTGACTACACAGAACCTTCACCCCTCGTATTCTAGAGTCTGTGACACAGAAAGGCTGCAGGGTACCAAAAGAGAAAAGTAAGCACCGACCCAGCCATGAAACCTTTGAGTTACAGTCTGTCCTACATGCAAAATATGCTAGGGTAATGGTGGCACAAACCTTGTGGGCATAATCAATCAATGTCTGATTTTACTTAAGGCCAACTCCTTGAGATGGAACCCATACCTAACACTTCTTGGGTAATCAAGAACCAAAGTCTAGATAGCCCAAAGACCTAGGGTAAAACCAAATACTACTAGTCTTAAAGAAAAGAAGAGAAAAGTAACAATAAAATAACTCCCAGTGATATTCTGCTGTACTCATAGATCTGACTATACTCATAGTCACCTTCAGAGAGGCTTTCTTCTGCAGCTAATGGGAACAAATACAGAGACCCACAGCCAGACATTATGCATAGACAGACCTTGGAACACACAGGTCTAAATGAAATGCCTCCACCAAATCCCTCCACTTAGAGCTCAGAGAACCCCATGGAAGAGGAGACAGAGGGAGTCAGGGAGACAGAGGGGATGGAGGACACCAGGAGAACAAAACCCTCTAAAACAACTGAGCAGAGCTCATATAAACTCACATAGACTGAAACAGCAATCACAGAGCCTATACAGGCCTGCACCAGTATATACCCCTGCGTATATACTATAGCTTTTAGTTTAGTGCTTTTATGGGGCTCTTGAATGTGTAAATGAGTGGGTCTCTGATTCTTTTTTTTTTTTTCTGTGATTTATTTATTTATTATGTATACAGCATATGTGACTGCAGGCCAGAAGAGGGCACTAGATCTCATTACAGATGGTTGTGAGCCACCATGTGGTA